GTATGTATGTATGTAGGCATAAATGTATGCCACCTGTCCATTATATTGACGGACAGGAAAATGAGGAATATAAATTTTAATTGCATAAATTTAAATGCTTTCAAGGCTGCACATCCGTTTATATGTAGAATCTATTCAATTAATCATAGTAACTTGGTGATTAAAAAATATAAAATGTAGCATTGAAGCGCTCTTAAAGTAGTATTGCTATCTGACAGAAATGCCACAGCTCAGGGCTAGGTTATGTGAGCCAATTCTAAGTGGTCTTGCATTTTATTTTGTAATCACCATTTTATTTTGCAATATAAAATCAGGCTGTGAAATTGTATGCACTGCACTGGTTGTTTGTTGAACTAGCTCTAATACTACATTAACTGTATGTATGTATGTACTAGGAATGTTAATCCCGGGATCGCGGCCTTTTAAGTCGGTATATCTATGTAATTAGCATTGTAGCAATAATAGAAACTCCTTTTCTTGACCAGTATTGGCTATAGTTCATTTTTTATTTAATAATTAATTTTTTGTATAAGTGTATACCTCATTATACATACATATAACACCGCGCGATAGTAAACTTTAAACACAAATANTATAGTAAAATCGCGTTTTTAGTTTTTCACTCTGACGTCAGTAAATCAAAAATGATTTAAAAAATTCAGAGAAATGTGCTTAGAGGAAAATTATGGGTATCAAATTAAAGAGAAAATACTGTAGAATTTAAATAGATTCAAAATTTTGATGCAGAAGGACTGGTAAGTATTGAAATGTCCTTTTAAAATTTTATCCTTGAAATTTCGCAAGATTTATTTTTGAAAAAAATTATATGTTAAGGACTTATATAAACTCGATAACATCCTTCTAACTTTATCAGGTTAAAAAATTAAAGTGAAAAATGGTTTTTTTACAAAACTAACAAACGTGTGGATAAGACATTGTGCAAATATCTTGAATCAACAAAAAATAACAAATTAAAGCTTTAAATGCATTTTTTTTACCTTTTTTTACGTTTTGAAATGCAAGTTCGAAGTAAATTTTTTGATTGAGTTTACAAGTAGGTTGCGTTGAATGCACTGTCAAATTATTTGCGATTCATGATTCAAATGTTTGGTAACATAAAATATATAGTAGTGTTTGTTACCTTATGCTTAGAAATTGATTGCAAATATTTACCACAATTGCATTGTCGTTTTCGCGTAGTTAGATAGGAATAATTCAACAGAGAAGCATGTCCCACCCGTGAGCTATGCTATGTGTGGGACAGTTGTCAGAGGTAGGTGTTACAGGGCTGATAAGACTTAATTTTTTTGTTGAGGTGGACGCACGGAGGAGGGGGGATACGCGGACTCGTCCATTATCTATATACCCTTGTGGCCAGCTGATTAAGTTAAGTTTTGACCAGTTTTGGTTTTTATTTTGTTAATCTAATATTTATAGTTTTTTTATAAAAGTCTAGGACATTTTTTATAAAAGTCTAGCACATTATCTAACCAGAATCACATAAATCTACATTTCAAACTTCTTACAAAATTTATAAAAATTCAACAAACTTTAACAATTACACCTAAAAATTTTAATTTTTTTTTTTCTCAAAATTTTTAGGTATGCAGTTTTGTAGTCCATTAAATTTAAGTAGGTAAAAGTGAAGATGTCAAGCCGCTAGGAAATCGCGTTCATTTTAAATAATTTTTTTGGCTGACGGTGCTAAGCACTTTCTGCTATATAAAAGGTACTGTCCTAAGATAAAACGTGAGTGAATTATTAGAAAAAGTTTTCACGAACGGACTGTAACTAAAGTCACCTACCAGCATTTTAGAGCTTTAAAAAAACTACATAGATACATAGGAAAAATACCTCTACTAATAGTTGCTCCGCTATATACCCCTTAAATTTTTTGAACCTATAAACCATTATTTTGATATGATCTTTTTCATGTGACTGAGTTTTGGCAAATTTTTAAAATGATGTAGCATCGTAACATTTTTATTCCTTGAAAAAATTTATGTAAATAGCATTTAAAAGAGCATGTCTTACTATCTGAAATTTCGTTGACTTTGCTACGAGAAATTAATATTCTTATCCAGTGTACAATTGTCAAGTTGGGCTGTGTAATTATAGCATAAACAAAATCCATTTACCACAACTTTATAAAANTATGTATAGTAATATGTAGTAGCAAAGTCTTATTAGGTAACCGGTAATTAAATACTTAACTAAGAAATGTAAAAGCTTTATTTGTTGTGTAAAACCGATTTTAAAATAATCTACTTAGATTATTAGTGATTTTAAATAGTAAAAGTAAGTAGTGCCTAGTTAAAATCCAGTTTGAACAACCTTCGAGATAAATAAAATGTACAATTTTATTAGATCTTAAAGCCTTCAAAATAAGATTTGTGAAAGTTTAAATAGCAAATATATGAAATACATATAAAAATATCTTATCATAATCAATAATTGGTGCTTGTAAAAATTGTTGTATGTATGTGTGACAGAAACTTTCTGCCTAGCCAAACGCATATAAACAAAACAAGAGTTACCGTAGCAGGTATGCCAATGTTGTGAATAGTTAGTGAACAGTTGGGATTGCAAACAAATTCATTGTTCAAAACTGTATTTACAACATATGAATTAATGAACGTACCGTTATAAATAATAAATTGATTAACAATTACTTCCACATTTTATTCATACACACATACATACATACATATGTATATATGGGATATAGTGCATATCCATAGGTAAATCACTTGCACACAGTATATAAATATGTACATGGAAATATACATACGTATGAGACATGCGCGAATGTATCTCTTACACATACTATGTATGTATGTATGTAGTTACTTCAAGTCCTTTTAAACTTTGATTTAACTCAATAGCTGACAATAAATAAAAAGCAATTAACGTTAACTAAGTCAACTTCAACTCGAAATAAAAAAAAATAAGTAAATTCTTATAAGTGCGAAATAAGTGTCACTCCATATAAGGCATTGCATCTGGTTCACATGCTATATACATAGTTACTTTAATACATATTTTACGCACACAACCATCCTAACTACTAGTCGTATACGCAACCTGTTCAATATGCTGCACAGCTACGGTGACCATCCGTCCTGTTTTATACGGGCCAGTACGCTTTTTTGGACCCATTGTCCTGGTAATTTATTTATTTTATACGGGACGCCAAATGTTCTGTATTTTTTCTTAATGTCCTAAAATGGCAAGCCTATCAATGAGTTTGAAGTGATGTTGGTATAGGATCCTAATATTCTCCATAAACAGTTATTATTTTCTAATCTGAGTGTCTGTGATTCGAATCGAGGAATACATACAGTGACCTAAATAGAAATTAGGACTCGATATTTTAGTAAATTTTAGCAATTTTTTCTTAGTATATTTAATGTTTACCGCCATGTTATACAAATTTTCAACTTTATGCAAAAAACTACATATATTAATTCTGCACGGTTTCACCAAAATTTCAATCTTTTTAATTAGAATCTTTAGAAAAAAAAAATGGTTTGCAGTTTTATAACTCATTAAAATTGAGTACTATAAAGTACGAGTGGAAAGTGCTGGTCGTATGCTTCTCTTCAAAAAAAAAATGGTCGAACAATACTTTGTATGAAAAAAATGCGTAACACCGTCAACAAAAAAAAAAAAAATTCCCATAAATTAATGGTAAGCCTTAGCGACTTAAAAGTGCACTTTATTATACTAAAATTTTACGAATTTTTTTAACAAATTTTACGGGGTAAAAATCTCGAAAAAATTATCCTACTGTTACTACTACTGGATACTGTTTCAGGGCTAATACATCTAGTATCATTGAAGAAGACTTTAAGATCTGTAAGCTGTTGTGGAACAAATTTTTAAAATTATTTTTTGTCCCGTTTTCGGTTCTCATAAATATGGTCACCGTATGCATAGTATAGCATATTCGATTAAACGCTTGCTAGTGAGAGTGTCAATAAATCACTTATGAAAGCGTGCGAAGCAAGTAATGAATCTTTACAAATCCAATTATATACAAGCAATTACTAATTCCTAAATGCATTTCATACGAGTTGTACTAGCCATTAATACTTGCGTTGTGCGTACTTATTATACTAAAAAAAAACAATGAACAATAACTCTGATAAAAATTATTGACTAACATGGGTATTCCATGGGTAGGTGAAGTTCAATGTCCAATTATGAAGTTACTTATTAAAGATTGTAAGGTTTCATAAATCGGTACCCAAGAGCTTAATTGAACGTGGTTTTGAAGAAAAAATTTTTGTCCAATATTTTGTTGCACACAGATACATGGAGAACTTTTTTTAACGGTATTAAACCCCGCAAACATACTGCGAGCGTTCAGAAATTCTGAGTCCAAAAAGAGTCCCATGTGGATAAGAAATACAGTTTGAAAAACAAAAAATGTGTGACTCTTATATGAATCCCTTAGGTGTCATATATGAGCCAGAACTTTGTGTCGATACAAAAACCAAATAGATAAGATATTTATATCTAAACCGGTTTATACAGATCGATGTTTCTGTGGAATAACTACACAATTCAAAATTCAAAAAACCTCACAAGAACGCCCTTTTCCAGAATTTGATTGAAGAGCGCCATATCTCAAAATTCGGTTCAAAAACGGCCTATCTCAGCACATTTTCAATGTATCTTTAGTTGAGATAGCGCGTTTTTAACCGAATTCTGAGATTGGGTGCTTTTCAATCAAATACTGGAGTGGGACGTTCTTGAAGAGTTTTCTGAGATAGGGCGTTTTCGAACTGGCTACCGAGATAGGTCGATCCTCTATTCAGGTGTCGATATAATGAATGTTCGCATTTTATTTTTGAAAAATAAACTATAGTCAAAATTTACCAATATAGGGTGACCTTACCACTATGACGGGTACTAAATTTTTATTGAATTCCTTAGTTTATTTCTCGACCTCCTATGTATTTATATTGTATTTTCATTGAAATATGTATTTCCAGTCACACCAATGGGTTCCATACCGAAGTTATCAATTTTGAAAGGCCAACAGCAGGATATAACGCCACGTCCACTGCATCGCATTTTCGAGGCCAACCTGTTACATCACTCGCACAAAACTGCACTCATATCGCACAGCAATGGCGGCACCACAATCACTTCCGAAGCCACACAATGCACTTACAAACAGCTAAACCAGCGCGCCAACCAATGTGCACGCCTATTGGTGGCCGACGTAAAACGCAACAGCTTACAACCTAACACAGATGGCGATTACATTGTGGCAGTATGCATGGAACCATCGGATGTGCTCGTCAATACGCTGCTGTCCATTTGGAAAGCAGGAGCCGCATATCTACCAATTGATCCCAGCTTTCCGATCACCCGCATACAACACATCCTGCAAGAAGCGCACCCCATTATGGTGCTATGCGACGACAATATCGACCGTCAACGCTTCAGCGGCACACATATCATTTCCAGTTCGGAACTTTTTCACCGCTCGGCCGAGTTGAGCAACGCGAATTTGCTGGGCAGCGAAATGCTCGCCGATGGTAATAACCACTTGGCAATTGTGCTCTACACATCGGGCAGTACTGGTGTGCCGAAAGGTGTACGTCTGCCGCACGCTGTCATCTTGAATCGGCTGCAATGGCAATGGCACAAATTTCCATACGCGTCGACTGAAAGTGTGAGCGTCTTCAAGACAGCGCTCACATTCGTTGACTCAATATCCGAATTGTGGGGCCCGCTAATGTGTGGCCTTTCCATTTTAGTGGTGCCAAAGATGATAACTAAAGATCCGGAACGTTTGGTGAATTTGTTGGAAAAATATAAAATTCGTAGATTGGTTTTGGTGCCGACACTCTTGCGCTCGATTCTGATGTATTTGAAGCTGAACGATGGAAATGGGACAAAATACCAACTGATACAACGCGACCGACTCTTGTACAATTTGAAGTTGTGGGTTTGTTCCGGTGAACCATTGCCGGTTGCACTGGCTACAAGTTTCTTTGACTACTTTGTTGAGGGCGTGCATACGCTATTCAACTTCTATGGCTCCACTGAAGTGATGGGTGATGTCACCTACTTTGCCTGCGAAAGCAAAAAGCAGTTGAGCTTCTATGAGCACGTACCGATTGGTAAGTCAGTGGCCCATTAAATACACAAGGTTTCGAATATTTACATAAATATTCAAAAGAAGTTATGATCTTTCCTAATACTTTTCTAACAATTTACATGTTTATCCTTCTTAGGCATTCCACTCTCGAACACTGTAATCTATCTACTTGATAGTGACTTCCGCCCAATCAAATATGGAGAAATCGGCGAAATATTCGTTTCAGGTTTGAACCTTGCCGAGGGTTATGTAAATGGCAGAGATCCCGAAAAGTTTGTGGAAAATCCGTTGGCTGTGGAATTAAGTAAGTTTCAATACATCAATCAACTAAGTAATTATGTAATGACAATTCATTTTAATCGCGCACAGAATATTCGCGTCTGTATCGTACTGGAGATTATGGCACGATTCGTGACGGTAATGTTATGTATGAAGGCCGCACCGATTCGCAGATAAAAATACGTGGTCACCGCGTAGATCTGGCCGAAGTTGAAAAGAATGTCTCAGAATTGCCATTCGTTGATAAAGCGATTGTACTTTGTTACCATGCTGGCAAAATTGATCAAACGATTCTGGCTTTTGTTAAGTTACGCGACGACTCACCGCTACTAAACGAAATGCAAATCGAAGCTAAATTGAGGGACAAACTGGCCGAGTATATGGCGCCACAGGTTGTTCTTATTGAGCAAGTACCTTTCCTGGTCAATGGCAAAGTAGATCGACAAGCGCTACTCAAAACCTACGAAACAGCCAATAATAACGAAGGTGATTCCAGTATAGTACTGGATTTTGATTATTCGCTCGTACCCGCCGAGGTAAAACACATTGCTCGGGATCTGTTCGAGACTGTTGGTGGCGTAATCGGTCGTTCGACACGCACAACTTTAACGCCGCAGAGCAATTTTTACGAGCTGGGTGGAAACTCGTTGAATTCCATTTATACAGTGACTTTATTGAGGGAAAAGGGTTACAATATTGGCATATCTGAATTTATTGCGGCAAAAGATTTGGGAGAAATTTTAGAAAAAATTATAAATAACCGCAGCTCTTCGCCAATGGTTGAAGATTGGACAAATGCTGCACCACATCTGGATATGATCGCCGAGCCACTCAGTGATGCACATAGGCAAGACGTGGTTGAGTAAGTTTTACAAAAAAAAAAAATTGAAATGGTTTGTTAATACCAATTTTTTCTATTTCAATGAAGAATCATAGTTGATAGTTTTTATGGCAAGGCAGATCTGGAACAATGGCTGAAACTGGATATATTCCCCAATGACTACAGTGATCTTATAAATGTAAATATCAACTGTTCTTTGGCATATTTCTGCAATAAAATATTTGACTAGGAATTTTTTCTATTCGTTAGGACATCTGGATTGCCTTGGTGGAGAAGAACCTCAGTTTAGTTGTGCGGGATAAACGTACAAATCGTATTATTGGTACGGCTCTAAATTTTGATGCACGCGCTGAACCCGAAGTTGAGGTTAAGTCCAAACTAATTATAGTATTCGAGTTTTTGGAGTTTATCGAAGGTCCCATACGGTAAGTTTATTAGTTACATATGTAGAAGACATCTAGATGCTCTAGGAAGATTTCAGCATCAAAAATAAAATTTTGAAAAAAAGAAAATGTCGCTAACATCTTTTTGGCGGTTAGGGTTCGATATGTACACAGCTTTGGTCAAAGATTTAGCCCCAAAATTCAAAAGGATATTGTTTGTAAATTATGTTTATTTATTTATTTTTAATATTTTTCGTTTATTTTAATTTAATGAGACCCAAAAAAGTGCAGAGCAGCTCAAGTTAGAGCAGAATCGAGCCGCTGTCAAAAAAATAATTTTGTAGGGAGAGTACGAGAACACTCATATATTCTCGATCGTTTTCACATCGCGAATTAAGTATCTCTTGGAAATTGACTTTAAAGTTTTGAACTGAATATCGACCGTTGACTGCCNTATGTTTATTTATTTATTTTTAATATTTTTCGTTTATTTTAATTTAATGAGACCCAAAAAAGTGCAGAGCAGCTCAAGTTAGAGCAGAATCGAGCAGCTGCCAAAAAATAATTTTGTAGGGAGAGTACGAGAACACTCATATATTCTCGATCGTTTTCACATCGCGAATTAAGTATCTCTTGGAAATTGACTTTAAAGTTTTGAACTGAATATCGACCGTTGACTGCCGGATTCGAGTAGGTTTTTGGTATTGAAGATCCTGCAACTATGAGTGCATTCCTAAACTTCAACATTGTGTGGTTTTCTTCGTTTACCCTCATACTCATTAGCACTGTGCTTATACTCGAAATGTGCTATGTGACAATAATGTTTTCCAAAACTTGGAAACAATTTTGAGTCGGTCTAAGCCTTTTTAAATGTCTTCCAGCTAAGAGCTTTTATATTAAGGAATCCCTTGGGTTGGAATTTGCGTTACGGCATAGTATCTCTCTATGGTTGGGTGGGGCAGAGAAGAGAAGCGGATATATGGCTTCACACATCACATGGACCCAAATTGCATTAGTGTTGCGAAATCTAAAGGCTCATTTAGTGCCCCTCATACTCATCTATTTAGTAGGTGAAATAGGATTCTTGGTGCACTCATATTTCGGTTTGATAAAAATTTTAACAATTGTATTTTGTTATTTCTAATTTTTCGTAATAAAGGGACAACCAACTCCCTAAAGGACTCAACAAGATACTTCACTCATTTATGATGGGCACCAGCTCCGACATGAGTCCGCAAGAAAATATTGCCTGTATGCATTTTATGGAAAACGAAGTGCTGC